AACTGGACCGGAGGGCCAGAACAAAAGCATGGATGGAGGGATTGTGTGAACTAATATAAATTCAAAGTAAACATCATTACATAAAAGGGTACAGTCTTTTTTTTTTTTACTTTTATTCATTTCAAATGGGCTGGATCCGGCCCGCGGGCCGTAGTTTGCCCACGGCTGCACTAAGCCAACCCGGCTGAGGCCTGGATCTTAGTGTTTATCCATAAAATATCAGCTAACGCGTTGGGATTTTAGATCTATAAAATATATGATCTTAGAATATGCCTTTGAAATAAGAGGCACCTCTATTTTTTTATATCCTTTATGTGCTCATGCTCCCCTCCACTTATCTATTAAACTTGTACCTGTGTGCAATAGAAATAAAAAAGTAAATAAATGAAATATAGGATCTTAATTCCTTAGCTAACGATTGTGACCTTACCTTATTTTACTAACCAAATGCAAAGATAAATGAAAGATGTCATAGGCTATCACCAGCCATGCTGTTTTTTTAAGGCAGAGTCAGCAGACAGTTGCTTTGCCACGCCTCTCTGAAGATAGCATGGAGACGTGGGCACTGAGATGTGTGGTCCAGGCAAATGCTGGTCAACTGCATGTGACGGGGCCCCTGACAAGATAAGAAGCTGCCCCAGAATATGAAATACCCACATCAAGCCCATTGTTTAGTGCAGACCATTTTTAATAGCAAGGTTTTCTAACTAAGTGAAGCAGTTACACCGACCCACATTCTGGAGAAAGCTTCTTATCTAGTGACAAACTGACGGTAGACCAGCACTCTGAGTCGCACAGGTGTACAGCACAGGCTATACTTCTCATTGTCACCGTGTGCATCCTCCTCGCTCTGTTCACGTGCCTGAAGTCGCCTGCAGATGAGAAATGGCAACTGCAGCCTTTAGAAGTGTTTTCCTTCTGAGTGGTCAGAAAAACCAGCCCACGACCCAGCATTCGCAGGAATCAGGGTGTGAGCTCAAAGCGATGTCATATGCTCCGCCTCCTGCTTGAAGGGTGTCCGTCTGACTTTCCAGGGAAAGCGATTGAGCTGGGCACCTTAGCTAACTGTTTGGCTCTTGTTACTTAGCGAGCTGAGGAGGCAGCGATGAGTAGCAGTGTCAAATGCGAGGGGTCAAGTCTCATGTGGAAGACCAACGATAAACCATAACGCTGGTGATTTCCAACAACCACACCCAGGGCACGAACTGCTGCAGTGTGGAGCTCCAGGGCTATCATACAGCTACACTGCAAGTCTCGGGGTCTCTGTGAGAAACGGTAATTAGCATCCGCTTCCAGAGCCATGTTTACACCCAAAGTTTCCCCAGATGGTGTCTTGATACTTTCAACTGCTTCTCTTTGTATTCCCAGCAGGACCTATGTACTGCCTGAAACGGCTAGAGGAAGATGGATGTGTCTGATCCAGGAGGATCTATTTTCCCCTCCAGATTCATAGTGCTGAAAGTCAGCTGGAGTGAGTTATGTAGTGTAGACTATAATAATTCGCCAAACAAAACCAAAACTTAGAGAGAGGAGGATGGGGGACATCTGTAATAGCATCAACAATAAAAAATAAATAAAAAACTCAGGCTGCAGAGGCAGGAACACTAAGCCAAGAGAAACACAATCAAAATGCAGAGCGTGCCAATAAGCGACACCTCGCCAGCGCCATGCTCGACCCAGCCCTTCCCCTTGGGGACTGCTTTCTATAGAGACCACTCTCTGTTCCACAAATAAAGCTAAGCGTTGCTAGGAGACAGCCCAGATTCTCAGGACACAACCTAAGGGGAGCGGTTGCTTCCCACCACGAGGTATAGAAATCTGAAGCTATTCCTGACGGCCGTGCTGCTGTTATGAAACCTGCACTCAGCACATCTATTTCACGGAGCGCTCAAGAGCTGTTCTGCCCTGACACCCTTAAATCTGACATAACCGGGACCCCAAAACTCTTTTCCCCCTCCTGGTCTTGTGTTTTTCCTCTTCTTTCAGGTCTTCTCCAAATGTAGCAGCACCTCACCTGTCTTCATTTCATAATGCCCAAGAAAACGTGCATGTTTTTATGACTCCTTTGAAAGATCCTTCCGATTATTAGTAGTCCTATTCAGTTTTCCAAAGTTTCCCCACGACTTAGAGTTACTGTTTGCAAAGCAGTTTTTGCTTTGTCTTTTTCAAAACAACTGAGCGGTTTTCACCTCTATCCAAGCTTCCCCACACGCTCTCCCTGAAGCAGTAACTACCAAGGTAGCCCGCTCACTCCTCGTCCTGCCTTTAAAAGCAACTGGCACATCTCCTTTGCCCTTTCTCATTTTTCTGTACAGACACCCCAGCAGCTCAGGTAGGAATAACTGCTGGGAAGAGAAAGCCTCATGAATTAGCACTTAAACAAAGAGGGGAAGACTTTCGCGCATATAGCAAGAACTTTGGAGCACCAGCCCAAGCTCTTTCCAATGTTCTGTTATGCATCCTTAGCTTGTATTCCTCTTGATTGATGCCTTATGGTTGCCACATGGATACAACTTAAGATATTACATCCTGCCCCGGCTGGCGTGGCTCAGTTTGTTGGGCATCGTCCTGTGCACCAAAAGGTTGCTGGTTCGATTTCCGGGCAGGACACATGCCTGGGTTTCGGGCTCGATCCCCAATTGGGGGCATGCAGGAGGCAGCAGATGGATGATTCTCTCTCATCAATGTTTCTATCTCTGTCCCTCTCCCTTCCTCTCTCTCTAAAGTCAATAAAAGCATATTTTTTTGTAAAAGCATTTTTTTTTTAAAAAAAAGGCGGGGGATTTATGTCCCAATTCTATTTTCTGAGCTCAATCCTTAGGTTAATTCCAGATTTAAATCTCTGACTCTATTTCTGCCTCTAGAACACAAATATTTTGTGGCTTTGGTCACCCAGAGATAAAATGAATTCTTTAGTTCCTTCTCAAATTAATCTAGATAGAGAAATATAACAAGTGGGGGTAGGGAAACAAAAAGGAAGGCAGGGGAGAAAGCCTGGAGTAACAGGAGTCAATGTCTTAAGTGATTCTAGCATCTCACACCCATGATTAAATCATTCATACCCATGAAAAATCATCCCATATAAAAAAATAAAACTGATCATGTCCCAAAGAAATCTATAATAATAAAAGGGTAATATGCAAATCAACTGAATGACCAAACAGCAAAACAACCATCCAGACAACCTTCTGGACGACCATGCTATAACACCCACTGGTGCCAGGCCAGCCAAGGCGGGTGCGATGCAATTGGTCGGGGACCTGGCCATCGCCCCATGATCGCCCTGCAGAGGGAGGCCCAGTCCACCAACCAGCAGTTTGCGGTGGGTGGGCGGGGCTCCTGGACTGTGAGAGGGCACAGGCTGGGCTGAGGGACCCCCTCCACCACCACCACCACCCCCCGAGTGCATGAATTTCATGCACCGGGGCTCTAGTGTCACATAAAAAGCATTTAAGAAACCACAGTCCGCTATTTGTAGTCTCATATTAAGCATTGCGAGATCTAAAATAGAAGGAAGGAAAAAGCATTACGAGAAAAGTAAAAAGAAAAAAAGTTTATAAAATCCAAAAGGGTGAAATTACATAAGAACCAAAAGCGTTACTGCCAAAAAGTAAAATATTTTGTGAACCTAACTGGTACCATAAATGAAAATATCATGTTTACGTCATGGAACTGCCTCACTTTGAAAGTGTATTTAAACGCACTTGGGGGAAATGCTGAACGCTGAAGACGTTCCCCCTATTGTCATAAGAGAGAGAGAGAAAAAGAAAAAGTCATTGATGTTTTCTGTTGTCTTAGATTTCCTGCTATCCAGCATGATTAAACATTTAGAGATACAACAGTAAATACAAACTAATTAATTTAAAATTCCTGGTCCCGGAGAAACACAAAGCGAGTGGGTTTAACATGAATATGATTTCAACAAGGATGTCTGTCACTTTGCCTCAAACGGGGTTTCCCAACAGTGGCACTGGGGACAGTTGGGGGCAGGTAAGCCTTGGTTGTGAGGGGCTGTTCTCCGCGCCTCAGTAGATTTAGCAGCATCCCTGGTCTCCCATTTCCCTGCCAGCTGTACCAACCAGAAACGTGTCCAGACATCGCCAAATGTCCTCCGGGGGCAGAATTGTCCCTGGTTCAGAAGCACTGCCACAAACCAATCTTTTCCCCCTAATTTATTTATTACAAAAGCCCCCAAAAATGCTCGGTTTATAATCTACATGGAAAGCAATGAAGTCTTTCTAATAAAATAACTAATGCTAATTTTTTTTTAATTCCCTTCATTCAGTGAACAAGTTCTCCAATGCTGGGGAATGTTAGATTTCATTGTCAATTTGATTTAGCTTTCCTACTGGCTGCTGAGAAAGTTTTGACCTTTGCTTTCCAATAAGCGGACTTCATACTTTCTGGGACACATTATTCATCACTCACCTACCTATGAATACAAATTAGCTAAAGAGAGCTGGGACTCGTTTATAAAAACACAGAGCAACCTATTTCTAACTCATATGTTGGAAGAATATGACGCTTTCTTCACCTAATGGATCAGGGACACATGAAAGAATTCTGGACTCATACTTTAGACTGCAAGTTGTTCTGAATGAAATTCAACCTTCAGATAACACAGAGCAGTTTCTCAGATCAGTTACCTAACTCTAGATTGTCTTTTCCATCCATTTAAAAATACCCATAAATGCCAACAGCCCCCTCTTTCCAAAATGGAGCTATTCCTCAAGGGTAATAGGAAGTTTAAAAAAAGAAAAAAAACTGTAAAATCTGAAGATTTGGGAATTTAATTAGGAGAGAGAGGTGACCACAGACTTCCTATCAGCAAAGGTACTTATACTGCTGTCTCTCCTCCTCCTCCGACCAGGAAGAAAGGACTCCCGGCCCCGCTGCCTTCACTGACCCGCGTGAGCGTGTCTACAGGAGAAAATACAGAGAAGCACAACGTCGCAGGGACGCGCGTGGCCCGGGCGCAGCAGGCCCGCGGCGTGACTCACCGATGTGATACAGTCCGATCCAGTCGCTGGGGTCCACCTCCTCCTTGATGTCCCAGAAGATGATGAGGTTCTGGGCGCGGCCCAGCGTGTACTCGTACATGCTGGCCGTCAGGCTGGAGCGGCTCTCAGAGGTCACCAGGTCCGTGTCGCTGTTGGCCCGCTGCAGGGCCATGTTCTCGGGCCGGGAGCCCTGGGCGAGGCTCTGCAGGTTCTCGGGGCTCAGCGTGTAGCGCATCTGGGGGTTCCGCCGCCGCACGAAGAGCAGGTGCTCCCGGGCCGAGCCGGCCATCCCGGCCGCCTCTCCGAGGGTGGCTTCCTACACAGCTGGGGACAGGCAAGCACAGCGTTAGGGCCGCAGCACAGGACTTAGGGCTAAGCTCCCGGACACAAAGCCTTGGGTGAGCGCCAGGCTCTAATCCCGGCTTCAGAACTAAGCCCAGGCTCCACCGTCAGCTGGTGGTGGCAGAGGCCGCTCAGGTCAGAGGATGGCAAGGCCCTCGACCTCCCTCCGCCCAGCTCCTCCCGGCCAGTCAGGAAGCAGGGGTTTCTCGGCCACCCCTGTAGGCGTGTCCTCTCTCCTGCAGAAACGGCATCCTCTCCTCCACCACCCACCACCCCCACACTCCCCCTCACATAAGTATTTGCTGCTGCTATTACATTTCAAAATAGCAGGACACAAAAATCTGGCACATGCAAGCAGCTGAAATAGACCACTGAGGACAAGTTCATTTGCTCGGTTTCCTTCGCATGGGAACGTAACTCACTCAAGTCTCTTTCAGGAGCCCCTCCCATAACCACAGAGGCCGTCATAGTTAAAACTACAGCACCCGGCACACACGGCACTTACTCTTTCTAAGACATTCACAAATATATGCAAGTTATTTATTTCTTTATTTAATTTATCTTTACAGTTGAAAGTTTGACAGATGTTCCCCTTTTTCCCCACAAAGACCCCCACCACACCATACCTGCCATTCCCCCTCCCCAGGCCTTCACTGCACTAATTGCCTGTGTCCAGGGTTATGCATATATGCATGTAAGTTCTTTGGTTAATGTCTTCCCACCCATCCCTGCCCCCCTTCCCTCTGAGATTCGTCAGTCTGTTCCATGCTTCCATGTCTCTGGATCTATTTAATCTCACTTATATGTGGAACCTAATGAACAAAATAAACTGACGAATGAAATAGATACCTACACAAGTTATTTGCAAGTCTTTTTAAAAAATATATTGCTTTATTGATTTCAGAGAGGAAGAGGGAGAGAGAGAGAAACACCAATGATCAGAGAGAATCATTGATTGGCTGCCTCCTGCATGCCCCCTATGGGGATCGAGCTGCAACTCGGGCATGTGCCCTTGGCTGGAATCAAACCTGAGACCCTTCAGTCTACAGGCCGACGCTCTATCCACTGAACAGAACCGGGGCTAGGGCATAAGTCTTGAGTTTATAAGTCAATCGCTTCATATATTTACATTTCACCCAGCCTGGATAGATTCGCCTACTAAATGGAGGTAACGTTAATGTGCCATGCAAGACCATTGTGACGAGAGAAAAATCGTGAGTGAGTGCTCAATGAAAAGGCACCGCTGCTCATAGGGAATAGAGTCAGTATCATCGTCATAATTACATACGACATGGTCACTGGGCTTCTTGTGATCTCTCTGTAAGGTATATAAATGCTGAATCACTATGTTATGCACCTGAAACTAATACTGTATGTCTATTATAATCCTCTAAACATTTTTTAAAAGCAACTACTGTTATTTTAATAGGAAGATATTATAATCACTGAATTAATGCCTTATTTAGTTTGGAGTAGCTCTCTCTGGCTTAGAGACTGGGAAGAGTAACACTAGGACTTGAAAAACAGATAACAGAAGTTAAACGCTAAAGACACTCGAATAAATTTAATTTTTTTAAAAAGGAAACAATAAAAGAAGACCATCTTTACACACGAAACACCCTCTCAGCTCTCCCTAGTGCTGGCTGACCCAGGCTTCAGTACAAAGGAGAAAAGCAGCCCGTCCTTGCCGCGCCCCCCTAGTCGCCGTGGCTTCCAGCTCCCAGAGCTCAGACACCAGCTGCACCAGGATCCACGGGCCTTTGAGTTACACAGCTCGTGACTCAGCCACAGCGGTTAAGGAACTGTTTCTGCATAAAAATGCAATTCCGACTTCCTAACAACCCACTCGTCAAAGGACTTTTGGAGCCCACCTCTCCCGAACTGGTGACTGCACGTGGTGAGGTGCGAGGTTAGAGAGAGACGGGAGGAGGAGGAGGAGGAGGGTCTGCGGCACAGAACGGGGAGTCAGTCAGTGGGAACCTCACCAAGAGTAAGGGGCAGAGACCACCCCAGGGTCTTGAGCAGGCGAGTCTGCTATGAAGCTTACGCCTGGGAAACCTGATCTGAGCATGTAGTAGGGGTGATGGTCAGAGGAGGAAAGCAGAGGTGGGGAGCCAATTAGCAGCTACCTGGTTCGTTAAGGCATCTGGCACTGAATGCTGAAGAATGGACTTCAGTTACACAAAGAGGGAATAGCAATCAGGAATTTTTTTTTTTTAAAAAGAGCCCAAACTTGGCAACAGATTGAATACAGGGGGTAAAAGTGAAAAAGAAATTAGGACTAAATTCTGGATTTTGCATCTAAGAGACAACAGAATCCCAGACACGTTGGGGAGGCTGGGAAAACTCAATCCCGTGTTGGGTGAGTTTGCAGTCAATGCACTGTCTCTCAGTAACTATGTCCCAAAGACTCCCGTGAGGGTGGGCGCGAGTTCCTGGTTATCATGAGGCCAGGGATAAAACCAATATTCAAATGTAAGTTTCTGCTTCATAACGGCCTCAGTATTTACTAATTAAAATGGACCCTGCCAATGCATCTCTAAAAGGCTTATTAGGTCAGTGTTTAAAAACCTCATTCGGATGTTTCACTTTACACAACTTAGATCAACAGAAAATAAATAAAGTCAGGATGCTTAGATGACAGTGAGCGGCTATTACCAAACCTGCTTTGGAAAATTTCATTTTTCCCTTATAGGAAAGGTAATGTCCAACACCATGCAAAAATGAATTTGCAAAGTCTCATAAAAATGAAAAAAAATCAAACCACTTTAAATTTTATAGTTCAAAATTGTAGTCTAGAACTACCTTAATCAATGCAATGTTCACATATGAAAAAATTAGTGCTACTCAAACAGCCAGAATGGCTGCTTTTTTTCATTTTTTCCTACTGGAATCTAAAAATTCCTGATTGGCTTCTTGGCTTCACACCTACGCCTTCTGCAATGAGAAAGGCACATTTTCTTCAGCATATTATCCACGCTCTTCTGAAAAGCTCAGAAGATAAACCACGTAGTAAGGAAAACTGAGTCGTCCCCACCGTATCTGTTAAACAGAAAGCAGTTCTTCAGAGCTCTTAGATAACCTTCCCCTGGCACCCTCTGTGCTCCGTCCCTCCCAACGGACACCATTTCCCAGGAGGCAGCTCTCCCAACAGCCCTCCCTCTCCTACCTGTGATGAGGGCTGCACTGCGCTGCCCCTCCCAGCACAGACACCGGCTCCGCAACACGGAGCACGCAACCCCTTGACTTCCAGAGGTCAAGGGAGATGCAATTACTAAGCAAACTTCAAAACGCCTGAGTAAACAAGTTCGTGCCCAAAGCAGCAGCTTTTGTTTAGAAGACACAGGCAGCAGCAGATGACAAAGACACGGAGCAAGGGTTTTTACTTAAAATACTTTCGCTAAAGCGTTTGGAGGTCAATGTCAATTCACCAAACCTCACCTGAAGGGAACACGTTCATGATCAAGTGATTTTTACAGACTGGAAATGCAGCCCAGATCTTAGCCTACACTGGACATTGATAAATAAAACCAGTAATAATAATTAGCATCCTGTTTCACCATTCAAATTCCAAAAACACCACACACACACACATATGCACACATGCACACACACAACCTTGTTCGACTACACTACGCTTCACACTCCATGTGTGTGTTACTACATAAATGAGAGAAAAAAGGGGGAACAACTATTTTGATGTCAAAAGACACTAAAGGCCGTTCGCAGGCAGAAAGGAGGGGTGTGAGATCTAGGAAAGCAGAGACCCACCCATGCCAGGTGGCTTCTGAGACTAAGAAATCCATTCCCAAACTGCCAGCCACGGTCCCTCCCCGGTGGGTGCACTGTGCTCACTGCTCAGAGAAAGCACAGTCACTCCTCGGTGTGTGTCACACACAATCGTAACCAGTGCTTAGCTTGCCCAGCAGGAGAGGCTGGTAAAACCCTTGAGGCCAGAAGCATCTCTCCTAGACAGCCCGCCAGTCCACGCCCATGACTCAGGGCACTGGACAGGGAGCCTGGGCTGACGGAGGCCGCCCTCACATCTCCCTCGTCTCCCTCGAGGTGGGACGTGTCAGAAAGCGCAATTTCCCCTCCAGGCCGCTGCCCTTTGAGAGAAGGCTCTTCTCCCGGCAATTTTATCAAATGACACCTGATGAGCCGAAGGCGGTGGGAGAGAAGCGGACCCTCAAAAAGAAGTGAGCCGTTCCTAGAAGAGGAAATGAACGCTGGGCAAAAATAAAGGAAAATGAAAAAAAAACTAACAAAATGTCAGCGCCCAAAGGACAGATCTTTAAATAAGAACAGAGGATAACGAGGAGGGTGGGTAAGGTGGTGGTGGTGGGGGGAATGGGAGATATCAGTAATACTATCAACAATAAAAAATATATTTAAAAAACCTTTAAGCCGGGACCGGTTTGGCTCAGTCGATGGAGCATCGGCCTGCAGACTGAAGGGTCCCGGGTTCGATTCCGGTCAAGAGCATGTGCCTGGGTTGCATGTGCCCACCGGGAGATGTGCAGGAGGCAGCTGATCGATGTTTCTCGCTCATCGATGTTTCTAACTCTCTGTCTCTCTCCCTTCCTCTCTGCAGAAAATCAATAAAATATATAAAAAAAAACTTTTAGAAAGAATATAGGATAGTGAGTGTGGGGAGAACAAAGGCAGCATCTTACTCATTTATCTCAATAGTGGAGGGCAGACTGTCAGGAGTCCCTTCATGGAATGATAGTCACTGGCACAGACACCAATTTTTTTAGACATCAATCTATACTTCTTAAATGCTATTAAAACAAGAAGAGCAAAACTTCATCTCAAGAATCATTTGTAAACATCATGTCACATTAGGAAAGTGGAAACCAAAACTTCATATATTTTCAAGACCTTTTTAAAATTCCACCTATTTTTCAGGAAGTGCAGAGGAAGTGGCATGGTCTATCCAGGTATGAATTAAAATAAGAACGGTTCTTTGTTTTCACAA